ATCCGCCTGCGCAGGGTGAGCCTGGAGCGCAGGCACGGCAACATGGAGGAGGCCGAGCTCCTGCTGGAGGACGCTGTCAGGAACGCCAAGTCCATCACTGAGGCCTCCTTCTATGCCATCAAACTGGCCAGGCACCTCTTCAAAGTGCAGAAGAACCTGCCAAAGGCAAGAAAAGTGCTGTCAGAAGCCATAGAACTTGACAAAGTATGTGTTCCCTCCTGCCGTCTTGCCAAAAACCCAACCCACCCTGCTGCTTTTCTCTCTTTCTGAACTGTGTTTTAAAATCGTGGCAACGGTGATGACAGGAGTTGTAACTGTATGTAATGTCCCATTACTGCATGGAGACAACAGTCCCTCTAAACTGATGTTGCCACGTTCCCAAATCTGAAGTTTGCACTCTTTTATCAGAAGCACAGTGTGCTTCATCCCTTCGTCTTCCTTCTTAGAATCTTAGCTGTTGTCAGTGTGTTCACCTCTCAGGGTGAACAGGATTGGTGTGGGCAGTACTGGGGGTGGGTTTGTGTGAGCACAGGAATACCTGGCACTGCAGGTGCTGTGAGCAAAGTGCCACCCCTGGGTTTGAGCTGTAGATCACCTCTGGTTGTCTGTGACACAAACCAGCCCAGGGGGGAAGGGAAAGCTCTTTAGTGCCTGTCGTTGTGTGTATTTGTGCTGTGGGTGTTGTGGTGTGTGACTGGTGACACACACTGAGTGTGGAACACCTGCTGGGCCAGGGGTGCACCTTCTGACACACCCTTTGCACAGGAAAACACCAAACTGTACCTGAACCTGCTGGAGATGGAGTACAGTGGGGACCTGAAGCAGAACGAGGAGAACATCCTGAGCTGCTTTGACAAGGCTGTCCATGGGGCCTTGTCTATCAAAATGAGGATCACCTTCTCCCAGAGAAAAGTGGAGTTCCTGGAAGATTTTGGGTCTGATGTGAACAAGTAAGATGTGCTGTGTGCAGTGGGGTCACTGAGAGAGTGCTGGGAGGGGTTGGGCAGGGGTGGCTTGGTGGCATCTCTTAAATGGTTTCCTTTGTGCTCTTGGCTAAGGAACAGCAGCTTTTCTAAACCAAATTCCAGGTTTTAAATAGGAATAGATTTTTGAATAGGAATTGATTTTTAAACAGGAATCTCTTTTAAGAAAATTATCCCTTGTTTTCTGAAATGCTCAACACCTCACAGAGCAAAGTCTTAGTGCCTGTCAGGTCTTACTGTAGTTTCCCCTTGCTAAGCCCTGTGAAGGCAGGTGCTCCCCAAAGGGGAGGTGACAATTCTGTGACACAGGTGTCTTTTGAGACTGTTCCCTGGGAGCTGCTGCTTGAGGTTTCCAAAACTGCCCTGGTGGGATTTTTTCCATGTTCAGCCCTATTTACACTTACGTGGAGGGGTACACCAGCAATGCATGTTTTTAATTCAACACCACATATACTTTTTCCTCTGTAAAACAAGCTCCTGTTTTTATTTACATTTTGCAGCTCAGTAACTCGTCAGGACTAACCATGAGTTAAGTTTTTCTGCTCTGTATGTTTTTAACAGCATCTGTCCTTAAATCCTGCTGCCTCTGCATGGCAGCCACTCACTGCAGGTTTGGGATCAGGGACAGGCCAGGCCCAGGGAGCTTTGCAGCTCCCAAATAACCCCAGAACACAGAATGAGCACGAGACCCTGTTTTCACCCAGAGCAGTATTGACAGAAGGAGCAGGTTTTGTGGCAAAATCTGGATGCAGCAGAGGAAAGGGATCTGACTATTTGTGGGAATTTTAGCCAGGACTGTTTTGTGCAGCACTGAACATACTTGTTCTTCCCGTGCTGGATGGCAAAAGGCTGCAGGTGCTACTTTGGGATTGGAATAGTTTTGCATAATACTAATTTCTGGTGTTGAAATGTTGATTCCCAAATCTCAGTCCTGCTGTGGATCGTGAGCAGGCACTGAAGGAGCAGCAGAATCACAAGTAACTTCTGGAAAACTCCTCTATAAAGGAACTTCATAAAAACTGCATCAAGCGTGAGGAACGTTGAGCGAGTTGGGAATTTGAGCTGCTGTGGAATCAAACTGAGCCTTTTGGCTTTCCCATCTCGTGGTGGATCACTCCTTGAAATTTGTGGTGGGGTTTGGTTTAGAATGTTGTACTTTTACAGTTTGAAGCAGAGATTTTAAGCTGATTGCTCAGGGGTGGGAAATGTTGTGATGACAGTGGTGAGCAGGGTTTGATCCCCCTGTCCCCCCAGGCTCCTGGACGCTTATGATGAACACCAGGCACTGCTGAAGGAGCAGGAGACGCTGAAGAGACGGGCGGAGAACGGGTAGGGGGGACAGCCCTGGGGACAGGACACACTGGGACAGCCCTGGGGACACACTGGGACACCCCTGGGGACACACTGGGACACCCCTGGGGACAGTGCACAGAGTGGGACACCCCTGGGGACACACACACACACACCCCCCGGGCTGCAGCTGGGACACAGCAATGTGGGAGTGCTCTGGAATAGTCCAGGGAACAGCCTCAGACATAGGGGGGTTATTTAGTCTCTGAATGGATATACAGGTATTTTGGGGCTTTAACCCCACTGTGGTGCAAGAACAAAATCACTTTTTAAAATCATTTAAAGTGTGCACTAATTAGAGCTGTACTGCTGGATTAAATATTCACAGAATCATGGAGTGGGTTGGGTGGGAAGGGACCTTAAAGCCCATCGAGTCCCACTCCTTGCCATGGGCAGGGACACCTTCCATCAGCCCAGGTTGCTCCAAGCCCCGTCCAACCTGGTCTTGGACACTTCCAGGGATGGAAACATTTACTGGAAAATAACTTTTTGAGTTGTATTTCCCAGGAGAGCTAAACAGGGCTGGTAAATAACTGGGTCTCTGAGCAGAAACCTGCGTTGCTGTCTCAGTGGGGGGACCAGAACGGTGTAAACCCAGGCTGTTCTGAGGCACCACTGCCCTTCCCTAAACAATCCCATCTCCCTGCTTGGACAGGGTGCCCAGCTGGGAAATGCTGTTTAATGAGATCTAACACTTCTCACACGGAGAATTCCCCAGAGTTTATCCAGGATGCCAATTCCAAGCTGTTTTCCCCCCCCAGCTCCGAGGAGCCGGATGAGAAGAAGATGCTGACGGAGGACCCGGCCCTGGCGTCGGCGCAGCTGATGGACGGGGACATGCAGGTGAACCAGGCGGCCTACAACTACAACGCCTGGTACCAGGTACACCCAGCGGGGCTGGCACGGGGGGTGCTGCCAGGGCAGGGCAGGGACAGCCCAGCGGGAACATGGAGCTGTTCCTCCATGGCCTGGCAGTTTGGAATAGAATGGGTGAGGTTGGACCAACCACCCCCAGCACTGCCACGGCCACCACTAACCCGTGGCCCCACGTGCCACATCCACGGGTCTTTTAGATCCGTGGAAGTTGTGTTGAAGTGGTTTAGTGAAAACTGGTGTTTAGACTGGGCAGAGCAGGGATGGAGCTGAGGCACAAACCACCAGCCCCTGGGGTAGCCATGGTTTGGGAATGGATTGGATGCCTAAATCCCATCGAGGTCCAGGCTCTTCCCAGAGTCTTATCCAGCCGGGAAGCTGTCCAGCACTAGGCAGGAAAAATGCCCCAAATGTTCACACACAGAACTGCAGGAATGGCAGACTTGGAGCTGTGCCAGGGCAGGGTCAGGTTGGATCCCAGGGAAAGGTTCTTCCCCCAGAGGGTGGTTGGCACTGCCCAGGCTCCCCAGGGCAGTGGGCACGGCCCCAAGGCTGCCAGAGCTGCAGGAGGGTTTGGATGATCCTCTGAGGGACAGGGGGGGATTGTTGGGGTGTCCTGGGCAGGGCCAGGGGTTGGACTGGATGGTCCTTTTGGGTCCCTTCCAGCTCAGGCTATTCCACAATCAGTACGATCACAGATCCCTGCCTGCCTTCCCCATCCTGCTCCAGGAAGCAGACAGACCCTCCTGGGGGCACGGGGCATTGTCCCTCCTTGCCAGGGGTGCTGTGCCCAGCTGGGAGCAGTGGGAGCTGTGTGGGGTGTTCTGTGCTGGCTCAGGGACACAGGCTGAGCCCATCCCGCTGTGTTTGCAGTACAACTACCAGAACGCCTGGAATTACGGACAGTATTACCACACCACCTGAGCCAGAGTTCACTGTGCTGCGGATCGACAGATGGAATAAAAAAAGATATATTTTTCTAACTTTGGGCTGTGAAAGAACTGTTGTGCCACCTGCTGCGGGTCCTGTGCATGTGACCCGAGCTGCTGCTCACGGGGTACGTGTGAAGAGTTGTGTGCTGGTAACCAATACATGGTCTCTGTACAATTCTCATTTACCATAAATGCATTTTTTTAATTCCCTGCACTAATTTATGGAGCTTTCGCAGGAATTCCCATCGGTCCCACGATTCCATAGATTGGGTGGGTGAAGCTGGGGCCCTTTGGGTTGGTTTTGCCCCAGAGCTGCAGCCAAGGCCGTCCTGCTCCCACCCCAACTGCCACCACAGCTTTCCCAAGCCGGGCACTGTGCTGGGATTGACCCCGGAGCGGGGCTGGAGGCCTTGGCAGAGCTGTGGGGTCAGGAATTCACCCGCGGGGCAAAACCCCCTTGGTTCTTTTCTAAAAAGCACAAACTGTGTTTGGGATGGTTTTTGTATTTGGAGTTTTTCATGTACACGGTGTGAGCAAAACTTTTTTCATTTTGATCAAAGTGATCATTCCCATTTTTGTAATAAAAGCAAGGAATTCAGCCGTGCTCTGAGCCTTCTTGGATTGCCTCGGTGGTCGAGCCAGGAGCAGGAACACGTGGTGTTCCGAGGAAGGGCTGTGGCACAGGGATGCCTTGGGAACACCTGGATCTCTGGGAGCAGAGTGCCTGACAGTGGTATTGATACCTCTGGAGTGGGAATGCTGTGGAATTCCAGAGGAGGTGCTGCTGGATCCCTGTGGCCCTGCAGCCCTGCCAGGGCAGGGTGGGGAGCTCAGACACAAAGAAGGGACGGGAAGGCACGGCGGGTACAAACTGGTTTAGTGGTGTCACTGTACAGAGGGGCAGGGACAGCGCTCCCTGTCCACAGGGCCAGGCTGGAACTGGAGCCCCGAGTTCCAAGGCCAGTCCCTGGGCTCCCAGCAGCAAAGGGAATTCGCTCCTCACTCGATGTCCACCAGCTCCACTTCAAAGAAGAGCTTTGCGTTCGGGGGAATCCTGGGGGGGCACGTTAAGGAAGCCTAAAACACCCCAAATGCTCCAGCTCCCCCGTCCCTCCCTGGGCAGGGAATCACAGCCACTCTCCTGTGTACCTGTGATGTCACTGACCTTGGGACATCCTGGATCCAGCACTGGGACACAGCTGCTGCCCAGCACGAGCTGTGCAGTTCCATGGATGCACCTCCACTAACACACCCTGCTCCTCGTTCCCTAAGCCTGGGCTCCAGGTTTGGGAGTCCCTGTCCTGCTGTGCTACAGGGGAGAACAGTGTCCAGGCAGCCCTTGGGATTACAGGATTCCAGCACCAGGGAATCCACCTCCCAAAGCACTGGGAAAAAGAAACACGAATGTGTAAAACACAGCGGGATCCCCCCTCCATCCCGTACTCCTGTTGTGTCCCAGAACCAGAACCAAATTTAACAGGTCACTCCTCCTGCTTCCCTACTCCACTGGTTTATATCCCTGTCAGTGATAAGCATTTGGAAGCTGATTTGGAAGCTCAGCTGGACTGAAAATGCAGGTGGAAAACAGCAGCAAGTTCTCCCTGCACAAGGTTTAGTTCCAAACAAAAGGACAATCCCACCCACCCTCCAAGTGCACTGCATTTCCTCAGAGGGGGAATATTCCGAGCCTGCTGTAATGAGTGACCCCCCCGTTACACCCCTGTCCCAGCACTTCACCCCCCCAGCATTCCCAGGTTTCTGTACAAGGATACTTGGCATCGGGCTGCCCCTTCTTGCCGTAGGCCCACTCGGGCTCGATTTCCAGCTGGGCCTTCTCTCCTTTGCTCATGGTCAGCAGGGCTTCATCCCACTGCAAGGACAGCACAGCAGCGGGTCACAACAGCTGCACTTCCCAGCCTTTCCACCTGCTCCTAGGGATTCCCACCAATCCCACAACTCCACGAGCCCAGGCTGCTCCAAGCCCTGTCCAACCCAGCCTCCCTGGCAGCCTGGAGCAGTGGATCCACGTTTGTTCAAGGCTGTTCCAAACCCGGATTCAGTCAGTGCCTGTCCCTCCCCAGGACTCGCTCCCTTCCCAGTGTCCCCACAAGTGGCTCCTGCAGTGCCAGGTCCTGGCTCAGGGAGACACGGATAAACCTGGACAGCTGCAGCTCCTGCAGCGCTGGACACGGGCCAGGGACACTGCCCCCTTCCCAGGGACACTGCCCCCTGCCCAGGGACACTGCCCCCTGCCCAGGGACACTGCCCCCTGCCCAGGGCCAGTCTCAGCCCTCAGAAAGGCCTTTTTCCTGCTCAGCCTGGAGCAAAGGAGGCTCAGGGGGGACCTTCTGGCTCTGCAACCCCCTGACAGGAGAGGGGAGCCAGGGGGGGTCGGGCTCTGCTCCCAGGGAACAAGGGACAGGAGGAGAGGAATCCCAACAGCCTCAGAGCAGACTGACAGGAGCAGGAGGCTGGGCCTGTCCCAAGGAACACAGAGTCTGTTTTCCACACGCTGCTACCCAGGGGAATGACACAGGATAATGGGACATCCTGCCCGTGTAAACCCTTGCAAGTTGCATTTTTACCTCCACGAGGAACAGAACAGCAGCTCAAAAACTGCACCCCGGTCATAAATCACACGGAAGGAAACTCCTTTGGAATTCTGAGGGAGCTGTCAATGCTGTACTTACACCTCGGATCACTTTTCCTACGCCAACCTTGAAACTCAAGGGCTTGGCTGCTTTTTTCTTCTTTGAGCCTGGAAGAGAGTTTTGTGTTGCTTTGCTTTAACATCACTCCAGCACACACACCACACTGCTGTCTATGATTATAAATACATATGATAGATAAATAAATATACATTCTTATCATTTTATTATATTATTTTTAGTGCTTATGTTATTACAATGTTATATTATTTTAATATTCAGTGCTGTGCACCAAAGCCATCATTCACTGTTCAAGCTGCACCAAGAGCTAAAGCTGATGAGCATCTTTCAAACCCCAAAGACTCATTTCTGAATTAATAAAGTTGACAGTACAAGTCACAAACACATTAAGGAACCAGAAGAAGTCAACAGGGACCATACAGCAAGCACAAGGAGTCCCAGTGACTCTGGAATACTGTTCCTCTGAGCGTGGGACACACTCTGAAAAAGCCTTTCTAGTCCTACAGGATTTCATTCTCCTAACCCCTCTGATCTGTCACAAAAACACCAGAGCACTCAAACCCCTCTCATTTCAGTGCCTCCACGTTTAAGGATTTATTAGAGAAGGACACCAAGATGTTCATTTAGAGAAACTCAGGACACTGCTGGTGCTCGAGTTCCATAGGAGAGGGAAGCTCCATCTCTCCCCTCAAGTATTTTCAGCCCTGATTAACTCCCTGCTTTTCACATTCCCAGGCCTTGGAGAATGCCAGAAGGGAGGGCTGGCAGGATGCAGCAGTGTCACTTGACACCAGCCACTCCTAAAATACTGCCCTGCCTTACCTCATGGAAAATCAGGATCCGGGAGGGGGCTCAGGGGCATCCCGGCAGCTCAAACAACAAAGCAGTTTGTCAGGAATCCCACAGGGACACTTCCAGAGGCAAACACCTGCCCAGATCTGCTCAAGGAGCCCAGTTAATGCACTCTACGAGTGCCTGCAGCAAACCCCAAACAGTTTCTCTGTGCACCCATCTCTGTGTGACCTTACTTGATTGAATATTGGTATCGAAGACTGTCCCGTCCTGCAGCTTTCCCGTGTACCAGCAGTGCACAGTGTCTCCTTTCTTCGGGAAGTTGGTTTTATCGCCCTTCTTTAAAATGGATTTTGTATACTTTGGTGGCCCCTGAGGTTGTAAAAACAAGCATTGTGACTGGTGCATTAAATAGCTTCAGATCAACTATGTTTGAGATGGAACAAGCACTTAGTTTAAGGCATCAAAGAAGACAGGCACTGTTAGTGAAGGGCGTGTTCATGTGTAACTGCAGGGCTGGAGAAAATGCAGCAGATTAAGGTTAAGGCAGGGTGCAAACACCAGAGTTCTTGCTGTAACCAGATTTTTGGAGAATCCTGGGTTGGAAGGGATCCACAAGGATCATCCAGGCCAGTCCCTGGACACCCCAGGACACCCCAAGGGTCACACCATGTGCCTGAGAGGATCATCCAAACCCTCCTGGAGCTCTGGCAGCCTTGGGGCCGTGCCCACTGCCCTGGGGAGCCTGGGCAGTGCCCAACCACCCTCTGGGGGAAGAACCTTTCCCTGATACCCAGCCTAACCCTCATCCTGAGACAGGGGACCTGGTTAATTTGGTTTCCCACACGACAAACACGAGGTGGGAGTGTCGCACAAACCTCCTCCACGGCCTCCTCAGCCTTCACCGCCTTCCCCTTGGCCTCCTCCACCTTGGCCGGCTTCGCCTTCTCCGCCGCCTTCTCCGCGCCGTCCGTGCCCTTGAACCGCTGAGGGGGGAGAGGATGAAGAGCCACATCCATCAACCATCGACCCCCACAGGACCACCCCCGGCTCCGTTTCCCCCCCTCTCCTCACCTGCGTGTGGAAAAGCTGCGTGTAAGCCGCGATGAGCTGCTCCTTATTCGCCGTCTTCGCCACGTTCTTCACCTGCCCCAGCAGCTTGTGCTCCGCCAGGAACTGCCGGACACACACGAGTGCGAGCCGTGAAACCACCCCTCCAAACGCGCTCCGCACACCCGCTCCGAACTATTTAGAATTTCCCCCACCAACTCACCGCCTGCGCCGCGTGCTCCTGCAGGAATTTGATGATCTCCTTCTTGGCCAGCGCCTCGCTCCGCAGCTCCTCCGCGCTCCAGGGCTGCGCCGGGCCCGCGGCCGCGGCCGCCGCCGCCATTTTCCCCACCCGCCTCCTTACTCCTCCCTCCGAAGAGGAGGGATGAGAAGCCGCCCAGAAGGGATGAGGGGAGGACCAGGAAACCGCCCAGAAGGGAGGAGGGGAGGACCGGGAAAACGCCCCGGGGGGAAGGGGAGGGCCGGGAGGCGCCACCAGACCCTCCCCTAAGGCCTTCGGGCGGAGGCTCCTGAGGCGGTTTGAGGCGGCCGCGCTGAGGGAGGGACAAAATGGCGCCGCCTCGGGCAGGGGGGGGAACGCCCTGAGGGAGAAGCGAGGCGGGAGGAGCAGCGGGATTTACCTCGGGTTTGGCGGCCGCCCGAGGGGGAAAGGGCGGGCCAGGCACCCGCCGAGGGCGAAGGGGAGGGGACGGGAGGCGGCTTGGCCGCCTCCCGTCCCTCCCCTTCGTCCTCGGCGGCCTTTTCAAGCGGCGGCGTTGAGGAAGCGACAAAATGGCGGCGGGCGCGCCGCTCCCTGAGGGAGGATGAGCGGCGGGCGGCAGCGCACTTTGCCTCAGGTCTGGCGGGCTCCCGAGGGTAAAACCAAAGAGGAGGGCGCGGGCAACGACAGCGACGATGACTTGCTGCTGGCAGCCGCCGCCGCGGCGGACCCCGTGCCCGTGGAGGGCTTCAGCGAGGCGGCGGGATCCATATGGATCTACCCCACCAACCTGCCGGTGCGGCCGTACCAGGAGCGCATGGCGGGCGCCGCGCTGCTGGCCAACACCCTCGTGTGCCTGCCCACGGGGCTGGGCAAGACCTTCGTGGCCGCCGTGGTCATGTACAACTTCTACCGCTGGTTCCCCTCCGGGAAGGTGCTGTTCCTCGCCCCGACCAAGCCGCTGGTGGCTCAGCAGATGGAGGCGTGTGCCCGGGTCATGGGCATCCCGGCGCGGGACATGGCGGAGATGACAGGTACGGGCTGCGGCGACGGCCCAGGGGGTTTGAAGGGCAGAGTGTGAAGAGACGTAGCGGAGGGGGGCGAATAAAGAGGTGTTTGAAAGGGTTAACTGTCGGTTTTGTAGTAGTTAAAGCCCCGGGTCACCCGTGTAAAGGGTGGCGGAGCGCTGCGGTGCAGCCCTGTGGGTCGCAGCCTGCGGGTGTTCACACACAATGTGCTCTGCGTGAAGCTTAAGCCAAAGAATAATGGCTCTTTTTTCCTGTTTTTTTTGCTTTTCCCTCCCCTTTACGCCTTCTTTTTGTCCTTTCCCACCCCGGCTTCCTTTCCCCTTCCCACATTCCCCTTTATCCCTTCCCCTCCCTCTCCCCCTTTCCCCCTCTTTTTCCTTTTTCCCCATTTTAATAAAGTTTTTGCAGCCCCCCCCGAGCTGCAGCAATACCCTCAATGACCGAATCCATAAGCTGTTTTTGGGCACAAACCTTTCCCAGAGGTGCCTTAGTTGAGGTTTAGGGCTGTGGGCAGCTATGGGGCAGCTTGAGCTTCCCAGCCTTCATTTCCGTGGTTCTGGATTTAGTGTTTAAATGCAATAAATTAATCCTCGTTGTTGTATTCAATGCCAGGGAGGCCCTGGCCCAGGTTGCCCAGAGAAGCTGTGGCTGGTCCTGGATCCCTGGAAGTGTCCAAGGCCAGGTTGGAGCAACCTGGGCTGGTGGAAGGTGTCCCTGCCCATGGAAGTGTTTGGAATAAGATGGTTTTTAAGGTCCCTTCCCACCCAAACCAGTCTGGGATTCCCTTCTGCTGTCACTCTCAGCTCATGGGCTGCATTTTACTCTGAGCAGAACAGCTGCCTGATGTTATTTCCTTTATTTCCAGGAGGAACCCAAGCTCTGGGCCGCCGGGAGCTGTGGAATACCAAGAGAGTCCTTTTCCTTACCCCTCAGATAATGGTCAATGACCTTTCTCGTGGCACCTGTCCCGCTGTGGACATCAAATGTTTGGTTATTGATGAAGCCCACAAAGCCCTTGGCAATCATGCCTACTGCCAGGTAATGCTGGAGACACCCCTTTCTTCTCTCCCAGTGACAAAACCCCAAAATCACTTCAGGATCTCCATAAAGTGTCACTGTCACTGCTGTGGGGAGGTTGTTCTTGAAGTCAACTTTGAAAGAGATCCAACACTCCTGTACATTGTCAGTGCCTCATTTTTAAGTAATACCTGTAAGGTATTTTTTTCATGCCTGGATTAAATTGTAATTTTTGTTTCAAAATATCTTTCTGACTGAGGCAATTAAGAAAAAAAAAGTGTGGGCTTTTTTTGTAAGGTTCTTTAACTGAGTAAAATCAGTTCAGTTTTTGTTTTTAAAACTGAGGTTTGTGTTGATCAACAAAGACTTTGTTGTATTATTGTGGGTTAATGTCATAGCAATGGGTGATTTCAAAAGTAAATTTTATATACTGGAAGAATTGAGTGGAATAATTATAATACCTGTGGAGTTCAGATTTCATGGGACTTATTATCCATGATTTACTTTTTTTAAAAGAGTTGTTCTTCAGACTTCTTGGCAGCTCTCCTGGGTTAGTGTGCTGTTAATCTTTCTGTTAAATCAAGTGAGAAATCATTTCATAATTTACCGAGGTTGTTCTTGGTCTACTTCCAGGATGTCCCATCTCTGGAAGTGCTCCAGTGCAGGTTGCACGAGGCTTGGAATAACCTGGGATAGTGGAAGGTGGCAGAGGGTGGAATGGGGTGATCTTTAATGTCCCTTCCCACCCAAACCACGATTCCATGATTGAATATTTTCGGAGTGTTTTGTTAAGCTTTTCCTTCTTCGTGGGTATTTTCCTTGCTATAGTTTGTGTAAGGAAATAATCTCCTTTAAAGGAATTAACAGCACATTCCCTGTTGGCAGGTTGTGAGGGAGCTGAGCAAATACACGAGCCAGTTTCGGATCCTGGCCCTGAGTGCCACCCCAGGCAGTGACACCAAGGTGAGCCAACCCCACTTGTGTGCTTCAGATAATCAATTTGGAATAGAAGCTGTGTTTAATACCAGTTTTAACACTGTGCAAGGTGCTGAAGTATGTTATAGTTCCACATCAAAACTGAATTTATTTACAGTCTTGGCTCTTGGCTTGAGGTGTCTTTCGTTTTCCATCACGGGCAGTGGGTACCTTTTCCTTACAAATGTATTCAAGCCCTGCTAAACTCTGGGAATAGTAATTTTCTTTTTCTGCCCCTCTGCCAGGCCGTGCAGCAGGTTATCTCCAACTTACTGATCGCCAGGATAGAGATGTGTGCTGAGGATTCCCCAGAAATCCAGCCTTATTCTCACGAGAGACAAGTGGAAAAAATTGTGGTGCCGCTGGGGGAAGAGCTGGTAGGAATTCAGAACATTTACATCCAGGTGAGTTTGTTTTTTCTTTTTTAGTCAATGGCCAGTGACTAAACACATGAATATCTCTGCCTAGACTTGCTGTAGCTTATAAAAGCAACACCTTCCTGTGCAGTTAACTTTGAGCACAAGGCAAAGAAAAAACATGGTCTCAACTCCACTGTGACCTTGCAGTAACTTAAAAAGCTCAGGTGAAAAACTGGGAATGGAATTACTTCCCTCATCCTTTTCCAGGAGTCTTTGCAGAATTGGCACCAGACTTAAACTGAGGGTTTCTGCATTTGGCTGAATTTAGTTGTATTAAAGTATTCAGATGTTGGGAATGCCTTATGAAGTCTGTATGTGGATTTTCTGAAACATTTTCTGTGTTAGAGAATATTCTTTAGGGTTTTAAGTCATCTGTAAGTGTAATTAGTTCCCTTGATTACTTTTGATCTTTTTTTGTTTGTTTGTTTGGGGGTTTTTTGTTTTGTTTTGTTTGGAGTTGGGTTTTTTTTGGTTGGTTGATTGTCTTTTCTTATTATTCTGAGAGCTTTTTCCTTTTTTTTCCCTTTTTTTTTTTTACCAATCTGTAATGTTCAAATACGGAAGAGATTTTCAGGCAAATGGTATTACATAAGATACAGCTTTGAAAAGTTCAAAATGTGTACTCTGTATTCAGTAAGAGGCATAAAAACCCCTGGGATTAATTTAGTATCAGACTGTTGCTGTCAGAGTATGGTTTTGCTCAAACTTTAATGATCTTGGTGTAGTTATGTGGAGACCACTGGAAGGCAAACTTGTGAGTGCATCAGCTGTTTTCAGACCAGTGACCTGAGAGCTATTTAAATGAGGAAGTTCCACTCATAAGCTTTAAAGAGAAACTTTAAAGGTCGTTTTGCATCAGTGCAGGTGCCTCTGAGTGCTCTGGTGAGTGCAGGGATTTATTTTGAGGTGCTTCTCTTGAGATTTGTTTGGCTGCACAAACCTTGCCCGAGTTGGCACTGCGGCTTCAGTGGTTGCTGTTTCCTTGCTTTGATCTGGTATTTGCATTTGAATTGCTGCTGATTTTCTTAGAAAATACAATTTGTACCAACTGCAGAGGGTGTGAAAGGGTGGTTTGTGTTGTCTGGACAAGCCAAGCCTTAGCCTTGGAGGCCTCAATCAGCACTTTGGGAAGTGGTTCCTGTCCCTCAGTTTCCCAAAGTGACCATTTCCCATCTGGGGCTGAGGTGGCTTTGGTAAAATCACCCCAGCAGCTTGTGCCTCCTGCTGCTCCCACCCTGCTCCAGGAGTGAGAGCCAGGGCTGCTCTGCACAAGGAAATCAGGATCTTTAATGCTGACAGACAGGACAGTAAACAGGACAACATTTCAGTGGGATAAAGGACAGTGTCAGACAGCACAGTGCACCAATGCCACAGAAACTCTGTTTATGTGTGTTTACATACAGTAAGCAAGGCCCTGAGTATCACAAGAGCTGGAATAAACGTTTTAGGCACTAATGCTTGTTTGGAAAATACACAGTATGCAGGACAACACTCATCTGTTAAGGCTACATCATTTAATCTTCCAAAAACGGGGGTGAATGCTGTTTTGTTACCTCGTTTGGACAGTGGAAATCTTAAAAAGCTTCAAATTAAAAATGAAAATCCATGAGTGGCTTCCAAAGGAGAGCCACGGATGGATAATAAAATACCTGTTCCCAGGTGATCATTCTTGACGTGATGTTTTGAAATTGGAGTCACGGTAATGTTTGCTTGGCATTCACTGGTGTAACAACTAAATAAACCTCGTTGTGTGCCAGTTAAAAGCTGGAATTCTTGGTCCCTGTGCTCATCAGGGCTAGTCACAGCCCTGTTCCACGTTCCACAGCCATAAAGTATATCTTCAAACGGGAGGTTAAGTGGTTTTTTTCTCAGCAGCAGAAGCCATCTAACACGAGTCAAAATAAATAAATACTATGTGGGAGTTCACAGTCTGCCAGAAACACCGGGAATGCTTGGCTGCAGTGGGAGATCAGCACACTCAGACACACTGCTCCTGTCTCAGGGACAGGGATGTTTGTAGGACGAGGAGCTGAGTCACAGCAGGGCTTGGGCTGCCCGTGGGAAGGGACACCAGACACAGCAAGTGCTTTTTGCAGCAGGGGTTCAAAATGTAAACTATGTACAAACTGTATGGTGGGAGGATTTCACTGCTTCCAAGCATCTGTTGTGCCAAAGCAGTAAGATAATTTCTCTAACTGGCAAAAGCAATCAGATTGCAGAAACCTCTTTAATTTGGCATAAAATCTTGCCAAAGGGGGAAATTATTTGTATTTGCTCTTTTAAAAATCTTGGTGGGGAAGGGGGGGGGTTGAGGACAAAACCTTCCTCCCTGGGCCCTCTATTCAACTGAATTTTTAAAAGCTTTGTATTGTTTTCTGTTAGCTAAGAGCTTTTAGTTTAATACTGGCTGGCATTTTTTAATTTTCCTTTTCCCAGGCTGAGATCCTTCATTGCATTTTTGTTGGTTTGGGTTTTTCTTTTTCCTCCCCACGAGGACTGTTGGTTTGTTTGTGTTAAAACTAAGGCTTTTCTCTCTCTTTTTATTTTTTTTCCATTTTTCCCCCTCTCCTTGCTGTGTCCCAAGGAATCTCCATGCCCAGCAAGCACCAGAGGGCACCTTGGTCCCACTGAAGCCAGGGCCAGCTGCACTCTGATCCTGCTGCTCAGGGAGAGGCTTTGGGTTAAGCTTAAAGCCAGTGGGACCAGGAGGCTTCAGGTTCTTCCAGAACTACTCCATAAATCCATGCCTGGAGTTATTTTTTCACTCTGCTGGGACTTAGCAGCCACTGGCTCTGGTTGCTGGTCTGTAGGTTGTGATTAAAGAGCACAAAAGCTCTGTTTAAACCCCAAATCCTGCAATCAATAAATAATGCTGGTGATATACTCAATAAATTTTATATAAAAAGACACTTCTATTAAGCATAAACTCTACCTTCATATCAGTAGGGGGAGACATTCAGGAGGGATTTTTTGAGAGCAGAACTGTTTGCTACCCCAGTTCTAAAGTGCAATAGGTGCCCTGGGACTGTGTGAAACAGTGGGAATGCTGCTCTCAGCCCCTCTGCCTGCAGGATTATCCTGGGGGTGAAGGGCAAAAGAAACCAAAAACTGGACATTAGGAAGAAAAAATTCTCACAGTGAGGGTGGTCAAACTGCAGCAGGGCCCAGAGGGGCTGTGGGCTCCTCATCCCTGGAGCTGCTGGAACTCCAGGCACGTGAGACCCAGAGCAGCCAGCGCTGCCTGGCCTTTCTCTCTGCAGAGGTGACAGCCAGAGGTCACCTCTAGCTGGGATTTTTAATGTGATTCTGTGAGTATTTGTGTCAGTTATTACATTAATGGTGTGGCAGAAGGACTGAACAGATTAATCACTTCGCTGCAGTGTTTTAACATCCAGCAAAGTCATGAGAAAAAAGTGTTGAGAAAACTGGAGTTAAAAATAACCAGCGGCTGTTTAGGAATGCCAGAGACAGTCATGGGATTCCTGGGAGTGTGGGATTAAGGTAACCTGGAACTTTTGCTATCAAAACTTCAATGAGCATTAGGACTGTGGTGCCTTTTTGGTCTCTTCTCCAGACTGAAAGTCCTTTGGTTGGGTGCTTTGTGAGGTAAGCGTTAGGAATTTGTGTCATGGATGAGGACATCCAAAGCAGTCGGCATTGGCCTACCCTGACTCCTTGGGTCAATCCCAGGGGGCTAAATCTGGTGGTTCTCTTCAGGAACTACGACCTGGACATTCTTTTTCTGCGTGTTGAGGTGGGTTTGGTGTGTTCCCACTGGCTGCCCCAGTGGGGTCTTTGTGCAGCACCAGGGAGGTGCTGGGTCTCCCCAGGGGCCATCCCAAGCCACAAGCAGTCTAGGGACGCCAGCAAGTGGATGAGGGGAGAGGACTCTGCCTGCCTTACCTTGTAAACAAAAGATAAGGTGAACTAACTTATAAAGTGCTAAAGCCCTCATTAAAATTGTGTAGAGACTGTCCAAGTTGACAGTGTTTGGGTGACCTGGGTGTGGTGACTGAGCTGGGGGATTGCCTCCCTACAGGGGCTCAGAGCCCCACTGCTGAACTCTGTGGGGTCGGGCACCTAGTGCGTGGGTGTCCTGGGAGCTGTGCCTGGGGGAGCAGGGCAGCACAGGCAGCTCAGGGCAGCAGCAGTGGCAGGGTCAGGGCCGCTGCAGGAACCAGATCTCGTTGTGGCGGTTGGCGGCGGCGGGGTTGGTGTAGCCGGCGATGATGAAGGTGTCCTGCAGGCACAGCTCGGGGCTCTCCAGGATGGCAGCCAGCACGCTGATCTCTCTCATGATCGAGTCTTCGTTGGTGATGCCCCTGAAGCTCCTGCAACAATCAGGTTCTTTTTAACATCCAGGTTTTCTGGAGCCTTCTCAATGGTTTGGTTGTGTGTCAGCACTGATGCTGTGATAGGTCTTAGCTTTGTCCCTGCCATGTCTTGCTCCCAACTACACAGAACAGCCTGATGCTGTTTTATCACACATTTACAGATGCATCAATATACCAATTAATTCATGGGATCATGGAATATCCCAAGTTGGAATGGACCCACAAGGACCATCCAGTCCAGCTCCTGGCCCTGCCCAGGACACTCCAACAATCCCCCCCTGTGCCCCAGAGGATCATCCAAACCCTCCTGGAGCTCTGGCAGCCTTGGGGCCGTGCCCACTGCCCTGGTGACCCTGTTCAGTGCCTACCACCCTCTGGGGGAAGAACCTTTGTCTCATATAAATTACTAACCATTATTTCCAGGCAGCTTTTACAAGTTTTGCCACTTTTAACCTTTTCTAACTTGGTTTAAAGTTGGGTGCCATGCCCAGACTGAGAAGTGCCCGTGTTCCCAGTTTCCCCAGAGCAGAGCCTGCTGTGCTGACCTGCTGTAGACGATGGTGGAAGGCCACTCCTCGATGATGATGTCGGAGTCGAAGGGGTGTGGGGGCTCGTCCTGCAGCACCTCGGGCAGGTAGTAGGCGACTGTCACCGCCTGGGTCATCGCCGACTGCGACTCGTTGGTGTGCACGATGGTCACGATGGGGATGGTGATGCCCAGGTACAGCCCTGGGGGACACAGGGGGTTGTAGGAGTGTTTACATGCCGTGCTGGACTGCTGAACTCACACTGAGTCCTGTAAACCCCCCCAGAGTTACTAACAGGATGTTTTAGGCAGTGGGGCCGTGTATTCCAGGTTGGAAGCAGCAGCGAGGCCCTGGCACAGGTTGCCCAGAGAAGCTGTGGCTGCCCCTGGAAGTGTCCAAGGCCAGGTTGGACAGGGCCTGGAGCAACCTGGGCTCGTGGAAGGTGTCCCTGCCCATGGCAGGGGTGACACTGGGTGGGATTTAAGGTCCCTGCCAACCCAAACCATTCCATGATTTCTGTGATTCTTCTGGCTGGTGGATTTGGGAAAGCTAATAAAAGCACCTCCCCAATTAGGCAACTAAGTGCCTAAATCTAATTGTATAAGTGCATTGCAGGATTGTGGTGCCCATTACCTGAGGAGTTCTGCTCACAGATGTACCTCATGAGCTTCATGAAGCCCAGGCAGATGCTCTGCTCGTACTGTTTCTCCTTCATTTTGATGCAGGCCCACTTGGCCTTCCCGTACTGCCTTTTCTCATAGAGCAGATCTCCCAGCTGCAATCACAGAGGGAAGGATTTAGGATTTCAATATCAGCAGCTGGAAACCCCCCACAAACAAATACACGTTTAGCACCAGAGCAACTGCATCTTTTCTCAGCTGTCAGGGACGTGATCTTGAAAGGAACATGAATTTCATTCCTTCCTCAATATATCAACATATATCAATCCTTTATTCAATATAAACACAGGAGGGAATACTCTGCTGACCTTGGACCACAATTTATTTCAGCAGATTTCCGGGTAGTTCTCCTTCAAAATAAGGAACTGACATTTCTTGGGACTGTATTAACCATTTATTTGCAATTAACACTGAACAACCTTATTTTTTAGCTGCATTTGTTACAGTAGGTACTGAGAATTTGCTTTTAATTACAACATAAACCAGTCAGGAGTCCCAAACTGTTCAGATGAAACACGCTCCAATTATGATATTTATAAATGTGACTTGTTATTTACAAGAAATGTGACAAAAAGTCTTCATAGGTGGTTAGCAAAGGTTTTCTGGGTTTATTGATTTAAGGTTAGACCCTTGTTTGCACATTTCCTGAGCTGGAAGCAATTTGCTCCCATCCATTTCAGATTTTTATTAGAGGAGGAGATGGGTTTGCAAAGTGCTGCTTTGTTTGGTAATGATCTGTGAGACAAAAGTACATCTTTGGTTTGAAATTCAGATATTAATCTCTTTCAAGTACTCTTTGCTAAGGTTTTATTCACATGACCGTGTAAAGAAGCAGATTTAAAGAACCAATTTAAATGAAGAAGACGGGCATTTTATTTCAAATGTCAAAATATGGGATGTTTTTTGTTAAATTAGTTATAAAATGTCACAAAGGCTGTAATTCTTGGCTGTCTTCTGAGTTGCCTGAGAGTTTTTACTTTACAAAAAAGAAAAGTCACTTGTTAAAGGGGTGAGATGTTCCAGATGAAATGAGTTAAACAGTTACAATGCCTTGCACTCGGGGTGTTAGAAATCCTAACTGGTTAAAAGGGTTTGATAAGGAGCCATATTTCTGGAAGTCCTGGCTGGTTAAAAGGATTGGATAAGGAGCCATATTTCTGGAAATCCTGACTGGTTAAAAGGATTGGATAAGGAACCATATTTGTGGAAATCCTGGCTGGTTAAAAGTATTGGATAAGGAGCCATATTTCTGGAAATCCTGACTGGTTAAAAGGCTTAGATAAGGGCCATATTTGTGGGAATCCTGACTGGTTAAAAGGCTTAGATGAGGAGTCATATTTCTGGAAATCCTGGCTGGTTAAAAGGGTTTGATAAGGAGCCATATTTTGGGAATCCTGGCTGGTTAAAAGGGTTTGATAAGGAGCCATATTTGTGGGAATCCTGGCTGGTTAGAAGGCTTAGATAAGGAGCCATATTTCTGGAAATCCTGACTGGTTAAAAGGGTTTGATAAGGGCCATATTTGTGTCAGTGAGGTGTGAGTGCCCAGCCCAGCTGGGGAGGGCAGCAGTACCTTCTCCTTGCGCTGGATCAGGGTGAAGGGGATGGTCTGTCTCTCCTGGGGGTTGTTATTCCTGGTCAGCTGCTGGATTGGCTCTGCCATGTCTGCAACACAAGGACACAGATCCCACTTCAGACTTAGAGATGCAAAAATTGGACTGAAATGTGTTGATTCCTTCTCTTAGTTAAGCTTTGGGGACTTTGGAACCAGTTTAGTTTGCTCTTCACCAGGAAAGGAAAGAGCTTCTCTTAGGAAAGGTTCCCTGGCTCCTGCCTCTGTACCCTTAGGAAAAGGTTTTCCTCTCCCACTCCTCATATTTGCAATTCCCCAAGTTTTCTGGGCCAGTTTCTGGCTCTGTGCAGGTGACATTCCCAGTTCTGGTAACTCTCCTGGTGTTGGAATCCTGTGAATTCACATGAGGTAAATTGGCTTGGCTGCTCCTGGTCACAGGCTCAAGGGAACACTGCTGTGGAAACTCATTTCCTACAGCTGTTTAACGTCTAATATTTTACCTTAGAGTTTGATGTTTCTGCATTTACTTTTTGTATTTATCTATATCTCTCTATATAGATAAAAATATAAGTATTAATACCTCTTAAAAGAAGTAAAATGCATCTTTTTGATACCTCTCTATTTCAGTGCATTATCAGTCAGGACATATGTTGAGTGCAAGGCCTGTGTTGTTGCTGTTTCCAATGGATAAAAGGAGCAAATAAATGACAGTTCCATAAATAAAAGTGGCATTTTCTAGAACGTCTGTTCTCCTACAGTTCAGCCCTTTCAGTGTGGTTGGATTAGGTGTATTTGTAACTGTGGTTGCCCTGACATCAATTCTGGCTGAAGTTCCTAAATAAACTCTGCTTAGGAGTTGATCCCTGACAGACAGGCTTGGAAGCTGTGGATGTAGGGTTAGTCTTAGGTATGGGAAGCCCCTCTTCCAGAGGACTTGGTCCCTTGCCTTCCAAAGCTGAAGTGATAAAGGCATTTGTGTGCTTTGATAGAGGATTAGAAATTCAGTTTTACGTGCTTTGAAAGCCTGGGTGTGGATTTCTGCCCCGCTCCCTCATGGGGTGTGTTGGACATGCAGGAAAAGGACACATTTCAGCTGGAAAAGCTCTTTTCCTGAGTGTTTTAAGTGCCTCAGGATCTTAAGTGGAAAAGGCAGGATAATGGGGGAAGAGAGCATTATCCATGTTTCAGGGAAGAGGAGAATTAGGATGCAGGAGAATTAACTTGGCCGAGGTCACTTGGTAAATCTGTAGCTGAGCTGGGAATCAAACCTCCATGTCCTGACATCCAGTGCAGGGCTTTAGCTTTAAGACTATTTGGAACAGTAAAGATCCTTAAACAAAGGGGAGGGAAAAACTAAAGGTGAGGAAGCTACATTAGAGATAATTTGAAACATTTAAGTATGTAATTGAGAAACATTGAAAATGTAACTAATAACTGACATATAAAATTGATCTCTTTGGAGGCTGAGGAAAAACTAAAAAGTAGATTAGCCTTCAGCACGTAATTTTCCAAGAATTAGGAAGCATTTGTTGCCCAGAGAAGCTGTGGCTGCCCCAGGATCCCTGGAAGTGTCCAAGGCAAGGCAGAGAACTCAGTTCAGACTCATCTTACCCTTCTTTTAGCATGTTAATTTTCAGTGTTAAACCACTACAAAGTTGAGACTTCAAGGTATGACTTGAAAAGGAGCTTGGAGTCTCTTTGCTGCATTGGATTACAGGAAGAGTTTTTAAATAGCAGTCATTTCATTTTGGTGGTGTTTAGAGTCCGTTGTTCGGGGTTTTCTGGTTCCCACCTCGGGGAAGGTGAGTTACCTGGGCAGCAGAGATGGTTCAGATCTCTCTGCTTCTCTGAGCACTTACAGTTTCTGGTTGAGCTGAATTTGCAGTGACTCTGCTGCCTGTTTGGAGTTACCTGACTTGTTACAGTCTTTGAGATTCTCCAGTCTTTCTTAAAATTGAAAATGAGCAATTTGTGACTAAGATAAGCCTGGGAGGCTCGCTGTCAAAAAAGCAAAGTTCATACTTTTACTTGTTTACTCTGTGCCATCTTTAAATACAACCATCTTTCTTTGAAGCACTGACAGGAGCTTTTATAAACAAGAACGCTTTTGCAGGTAGCCAGTTCAGTATTTAATTAGGATTGCAAACTCGCCTTGATGCTTTTCAGTACCAATAGGTCACCCCGGTGCCGCTACAGCTCTGGGAACCTCTGCATCGCCCCGGGCGAAGCTTTAGCTCTCTTAGCGCCAGACTTGGGGTATCCCAGAGTTCTACAGAACTTCCCCGGGTGCTCCGGCCGTGCCCTGCGCTGTGTCCCGCGCTCCCAGCCCGCTCTCCCGGCTCCCTCCCGCTCCCTAAGCGGCTTATCCCGCTTACCGCGGGGCACGTCCACCTGGTGCCCCCTGCCCACGCTCTGCCAGTAGCTCAGCAGCCGCTCCTGCTCCTCGTCGTCCATGCGCTCGGCCGCCTCCTCCTCCAGGGAGCTGCCGTGGCTGTGGTACGCCGAGTCGGGGCTCTCCTCCAGCCCGTCCAGCTCCTCCAGCGTGATCGCGGCGGGCCCCGCGCCGCCCATGCGGCACCCGCCCGTCTCCATGGCCGGCAGCCGGGATGGCACCGCTGCCAGCGCCCGCCGCTTTATCAGGGGATCGCCCTGCCCAGGGATTTGGGGGGCGGGGGCACCCGCCTCTGCCCGCCCAGCGCCGGGCGGTGCGGGGATGGAGGGATGGATGGATGGAGAATAGATACGCGGATGGAGGGGTGGACACCCTCTCCCTGTGCACAGCCGCTTTCCTCGGCGGCCCTGGGGCTCCGCGGCTTCTCCCGCCGCGTGCTGTGGGGTCTGAGCAGTGCAGAACTTAAAGAAGTTTGTGCCGTGTGTGTTTTTTCACTCATTCCCTCTTTCCCAGCTGTTCTCTTCATCGTTTATTTTCCCCACTGCTCTGCATGTCCCATTTGTCCTTATTTTATTTTACTGCTTTCAAACTGCGCTTTAAAGACAGATCTCTCGTTTTATTCAGGAGGTCTCTGAACTGAATGAAATGATTCCAAACTCATTGCAGTTAGGAGTGCAAAAGCCACGGGATATTTTTGTTACCGAAGTCCAGCTCCGGAAGTTTTCAGCTGCATAACGTTGCCCTTGCTGAGAGCGAGGGGGACGAGCAGCCCTGCTCCGGGGTGGTTGTGGCGATTAAGGCAGGAGCTGGGTGTCAGTTTGGGCTCTGTGTGGAGCACGTGGCTCCATGAGGAGTTGCCTTTCGTTCCAAATTGAAGGTGAAAGGAGTGTTGTGGCCCTTTGTGTGCGGGCAGGGAAGGGGAATCTCGGGACATTTAGAGTTTTAGAACAGTAGGAAACAGTCCTCTCCTGTGCTCTGTTGTGCCTACAGGAAAACTCAGAGGTTAGGGATGGGACTGTGGGGATGGGACTGTTGGCTCTGATGCTCAATCTGCCCCCTCTCCTTTTCCCCCTGTTTCTGGTCAGTACCTTTCCCCCAGGCTCGGCTTTGGTTACCCCAGCCCGGGGGCTGAGCTTGCTGTTACAATGAACTGGGAATTGCTTCAGAAGCTCAGATTGCAAGTCCTGACTGTGCTCCTGACAGCACAGACCGCAGTCCTGCCGTTCCTATGGAGTGCTCCTTTGGGAATTTGCAAAGGGAGGAGCAGCTGCTGGTGGGAACATCCCGGGAGAGGGTTTTTTCAGAGCAGTGGTTGCAGTGAGTGAAGCTCAGCCCCACTGGGGGGGGTTTGGCCTCTTGGTTGTGGGCAGTGAATCAGCCTCGCAGACGGAGCTGAAATCCCTGGGGAGGCAAATCCTTGAGGAGGGTTGGATGTGGTGTGAGTGTGTGGCTGTGAGCTGCTGTGATTTCACGGTCAGTGCAGAGCACAGGGTTCACTCACTGTGTGCTGGAGAGGGTTTGTGGCAGTGCCCAGGTTCTCCTCTCACATCCAGCTGAGCTTCCAGTGGGGAGCAGCTGCTGTGGGCAGGGACCCCCAGGGGAGGCACAGTGGGATCCATCCATCCATCCATCCATCCGTCCACAGGTAACTCCACCTCACACAGCAGCAGTGCTGTGGGTAAGGAATTTTCCACAGAACTCTGGAAGCTGGGTCGTTCCTACCAAGTGAGGGCATTCTGGCTCTTGGAGGTTTTTTTCCCAGGAAACTGTTTTTCCTGAGAAGACAGGACTGTTTGAGGCAATGTGTGGGGGTTTTTCCTCTGCCTGTCCTGCCTAAGTAATTCCAGCACTTTCTCAGGGAAAACGGTCCCAACTCGTTTGTTCAAGTTATAATGAAAATTAGTTGCTTAAGCAAAGTTATTTCTGTTTAGAGGATTGTTAAGCATCATTGCTGGAGATGAGAGAAAAGAAAATGAAAAAATAACCTGAAAAATTGTTTAAAATCACAGCTAAATTTCCCTATATGTGAGACATAGCACAGAACACTGACTATGAGAAAGAGGCTGGGAGGAGTTTAAGATCCTGTTTTAAAAATCTCTGTATTTAATTTGGTTTTGGTTTTCATGAGTTAGTAATTACTACATTTGACAGAGTACTGAAGAAGTTGTCATGATCTATGTCTGGACACTGCTCAAATAACAGAATAACTCATTGTTACTAGAGATGAACAAAGCTGATTTTTGCTGTATTTGCTGCTTTGTCCCCAAACTTGTTAATTCTGTATATGACTGCTGGCTAACAAACAGCCACTCTTGAGGTAACATGGGTTTGGTAGAGCTGTGTTCTCTGTGCTTTCCTGGATGTTACACCTCTGAATATAACAGAAAAACTAATATTCAGCCTTAAAAACCACGGATTTGAAACATCCTCAGTGGGATGCTCCTTTCTGTCCCATGGCAAAGGGCTGACAGTCACTCTCACTGAGTGGCAGGTTGATGCAGAAAAGCCACTTTTTTCTTATAACTTCTTAAGTGACAGGGTAAAATTGTTCTCTGTGAAATTAGTAGAAAAGTAGAAACTGTAGATCTTCTTGTTTTATAACCTTTAAGAACTGAAAAATGCTGTACCAGCAGAAAAGTCAGATGTTGGAAGAGGACAAAGTATTGGATGTTTTTGATGGATCCCGGCTTCCAGGGAAGAACAGGATGTGCTCAGGGTGTAACTCGTCCCTGGGACACTGTGGAGGGTCTGAAGGAGTTAATGTGAACTGAGCCCAAAACTTTGAGCAGTGCCAAGATCATTACTGGGCTGATCAGTATTGGGTTTGGAGAACGACAGGATCAGCTTAAAAACACCCTGTCCTGCTGTGGCCCTGCTGTTTTCCTTTCCTTCCTGGCAAGGTGAGAAATGTCAGGAGGAAGCTTGAACAAAATAGCACTTTTCTCCCTCAGTTAGTTTGGTTGTCACAACTGTAAGTTTTACAGGGAGAAGAACTAAAGCTGAGCTCTGGATTTGTTCTGGAGCTGCTTGTGTTACTTCCCTGCTCCTGGACTGAGTGACCCCACTAAGGCAGACCAGAGTGTTGGGGGCACGTGGACATTCCCACAGATCTGGGGGGGTGGTGGGACCTCATGGACACCCAGTGTGGGCTCATTTCCTTCACACCAGTTCAGCACCTGCCCCAGCACATTGGGAAGGCTCTGGGGAAGTGTCCAAGGCCAGGTTGGACGGGGCTTGGAGCAACCTGGGCTGGTGGAAGGTGTCCCTGCCCATGGCAGGGGTGGCACTGGATGGGCTTTGAGGCCCCTTCCAACCCAAACCAGTCTGGGATTCCATGCTGGGCACTGAAAATGCTGGAGCTGTGGGAGCTGGGAGCGCAGGGGAAGGGGCTGAAGGGAGGGGCAGCTCTATTTAAGGCCAGAAAGGTGTATAAAAACCCAGCCAGGTCTGTCACTGAAGCCTGGGAGTGCTGAAAACCCTTGGAGTCCTCGCTCTGGGGAGGTCCAACCTGCACAGCAGCTGGTTTCTCCCAACCCTCCTTCTCTACTGGGAAAGAAGCGCTACAAACCCAGTTTTTTATGTGTGTTTTTCTCTGGAAAAGAACCCTTCAAATCTGCAGTAAAATAATTAGGCCAGGGCATTAGTTTAGAGCCTTTGGTTTTTATTGTGCCAACAGCAAACAGATTAAAAGCAGTTTTCAGTGAGGTGTAGCTGGCACAGCTTCAGTTCTTTGTCTGGTAACACAAGTCCTCAGCTCCAAAAACAGGTTCTAAGCTCATCTCGGGTACAAGCTCTGAGAACTCCTTGTGGTTTGCTGTGGGAGATAGCTCAGAACAGAAATGTCTTTGTGTTCTTGGCAGGTTGAGTGCAGGGTGGGATAACTCAGCCAGTTGTGTCTTCTGTGCTGGCTGTAAATCTGTCAGCCCCGGCCTCCATTTATGGAGCTGCAGAAAGCCACGAGTCCTCCCGAGCAATTAATTGAAATTAATTCTGCAACCTGTTTGTGAAACGGGGAACACGACACTGCAATGTTTTGGAAAGATGGAGGGGACTTTTTCAGAAGTATCATCTTTGTAATTAAAAATGAAGGTACAGAGGCAAGATAAATGCAGTGAGTGAGCAGAGCCTGTTGCTGTGTGTCTCCTAAGTAGGTTATGTTTACTGTTCTGGTTAGTTTTGAAGCTCCAGGTGACTGGATCCCGCTGTCTTTCATAACAGTCGGCCTGGGTTTGTTTTGCAGAAGGTGATTAAATCAGACAGGGGTGTACATTGAGCAAACAGGGACAATATCATTTTCTTATACCTTTTAACTGGGTCAAGGGATGAAACACAAAAGTACCTGTAATGAAAATTTCTGTTCAGAAAACAGAGTATAGGAAATAACAAACCAGAGCTGAAATACTATACTTAGTGGGCATTGCTCTTTAATGGAAGCATTAATTGCTTTTCTAGAGGATCATTTGAGTTCAGACTGACTCCATTTCCACTACTTCAGACATGGTTTAAGCTTCATCCTCAGCATTTCAAGTGTCCTCATGTCCAGCTGTTCAGGGGTTGATGGAAGGGTAATGAGCTGTTCCAGGGTTATCCATTCAAGTAAAAAGCACTGAGTTATTCTTTGCATGGTCAACATGTCTGTTTATTTTATAAATACCTTTTTCTATAAGCTGGCACGGACATTTCTGCCTCTGTCCTTTTAAAGGGACTGTCAGGTACAGCCTGGCTCAAAACACAACAGAACAATAACAAACTCTTTGGTAAACACAAAGTTCTGAATTTTACACTATTAGAACCAAACCATATCTTTAGTTTTGTTCTCATTAATATGAGAAGAGACCCCTGTGCTCTGAGCCTTCCCTGTGTCTCAGTGAATGGTTTTGACTGTATTTTAAGAAAACATCATTTGATTTCTTTGGGTTTTTTCCCCTTTCCTCCAGAAATTCCTGGCACTACTGTAGCTTCCAGTTGGTGTTTGCCTGCTGTTGGTGTTAGTGGTGTTAGTGGTTTATTTGGTCTAATTAATCCATTAGCCTTAATTAGAAGGAATGCCTTGGGATGGAGTGTCTTGCTTTGCTTTCTCTGGGAGCTGTGTGAGGCCATTCCCTGGGGATACAGGAGAACTTGGACATGGGCTTGGGAAGTGCCTGGGAGCCCTTTGGCCTCAGGTGGGGGTTTGGTGCCTGCAGCTGATCTGAATCCAA